AAGCTATAACCCAATTACAGCCCACGAAGAAAGGGAAAGGGGAGAGGAAGGGGAGGGGAGAAGGGAAGATGGGTGGAGGGAAAGTAATTGGTGGGACCACACCTACAGTGCATCTTACAAGGGTACATGTGAAATTTACTAGAATTTGTAGTAAATACAAATGTAGAATACAAATGTCTTAACACAATAACTAAGAAAATGCCGTGAAGGCTATGTTAACCAGTTTGATGAAAATATTTCAAATTGTATATAAAACCAGCACATTGTACCCCATGATTGCATTAATGTACACAGCTATAATTTCATTTAAAAAAAGAAAGAAAGAAAGAAAAAACTCCTAGGCTTAAGCGATTCTCTTGCTTCAGCCTCCCAAGAAGCTGGGACTACAGGCGCCCACCGCAATGCCCAGCTATTTTTTGTTGTAATTGTCATTGTTGTTCAGCAGGCCTGGATTGGGTTTGAACCCACCAGCTCTGGTATATGTGGCTGATGCCCAAACAGCTGAGCTACAGGTGCAGAGCTGGCCTGGCTAATTTTTTATTTTAAAATCTTGTAGAGACAGGGTCTTGCTATGTTGCTTAGGATGGTTTCAAACTCCTGTCTTCAAGTAATTCTCCCACCTCTGCCTCCCAAGGCTCGCCGGGTTATAGGTGTGATCCACTGTGCCATGCAGTAGATTTTTTTTTTTTTAAAAACAGAGTCTCACTATGTTGCCCTCAGTAGAGTGCTATGGCATCACTGCTCACAGTAACCTCAAACTCTTGGGCTTAAGCGATTCTCTTGCCTCAGCCTCCCAAGTAGCTGAGACTATAGGCACCCGCTACAATGCCCAGCTACAGACAGTGGATTTTTTTTAAAAGGACAGCTGTAAGGCCTGCAAAATGAACTCATGTGGGAGACTGGACAATAAATGCACAGAATTTGGTAGGTAAACGCAGTGATTCCTTTAGAAACACCTGGAGCTGGATAAGGAGAACAGGCAGGGTGGCCGAGGACAGAAGCTGAACTCTGGGCCTGCAGCAGCCTAGACTGAGCCAAACGCTGGAAGTTCCCGCCCAGCCACTGGCCTTGAAGCCCCTAGGGAAGGCAGCTCCCTACGTGTACCGCTCTCTCAGGTTTCATCACTTCATGAAGGCCACATCTACTGTGCACCTTCCTTGTTGGAGAAGTCCAGTGAGGAGAAGATACCCCTTCACCTGGCTTTCCATAGCATCTCCTCCCCAGCTCTCATTTTGACACCCCAGCACAGTCTTCAGGCTCTGGAGAGCAGGACTCCCTGTGCTCCTGAGGTCTGCAGAATGGGGCAGACACTGTCACTGAGGACAAGCCCTAGAGGAGGCGGGAACATGGCGCCCACTACATGGGGCTGCACTGTAAAGAGCTTACCAGAACGTGTCCTGAGATCGATGCCGCATTCGCCACCGATGTGGTAAACACATTGTCCGCAGAGGCCCCCACATTGGCCACCGTCACTGTGGTCACCTCTGCAACAGAAGGAACCTAATTTAACAAGCAATGAAACCTTGCCTGTCTGCATAAACCAAGAACACCACCCCCCTGCTTGATGTCTCACACATAGCAATTGCCACTCAGGTATGTAGATGTCCACCTGGGATGTCTGCAGACTTTGATAAAAACTACCCATCAACATTTCTAGCCCCTAGTCTAAGTCACCTGGGTCTTCCAGGAAAAAAGGAAGAAATTTGTTCTTCCAATAAGCCACTATGAACTGTAAAAACTGCTCCCAACAAACCCGCCCCCCATGTAGAACCAGCCACGGCTCCACCAAGCTACAGACATGCCCTGCACCGGCAGAGTTCCCACCCTTGGCCTCTTCCCGGAGTGAGGGGACACCTCCTGGACTCCCCTGTGTAATCCACACAGAGTAGGCTCAAATCCTGCCTGGCTTCCCTCTGGGGTCCCTCCACTGTCGGGCCAGGCCACCATCATCATGCTCACTGTCACTGCCTGTGGTCTCCAACCCCTTCCCTGGCTCCTTTTCCTCAAGAGCAAATCCAACCTGCCTGTTGGGTGCTGCCGCCTCCCTCAACACCAAGGACCATGATGTTCGAGGGAGCTGTACACAGGTGTCCCTCTATTGCTGGATCTACAAAGCCTTTCCTTGGTGCAAGCAGTCCCTTTCTGTCACCCAGCATTCCAGAATGTCCTACGGCAATCTCTGTTGCACAGCAGGTACCCAAACAACAATGGCTGAATCAGTCTTACTCACATCATTAGCTTAGCCATTACCAGTAGCACTGAAGATGCTGTTTACTGGCCACTTTCATTGCCAGGCCACACTTGGCGCCCAGCTAAGGCTAGCAGGCCAGGTTGGCCACACTTGCGCAGGACATGTGCCTCAACACACAGGTCCAAGATAGCTCAACCAGACATCTGCCACAGGTGGCCCCAGATGCTAGCAAGACCTGCTGAGTTACTTCAGCAACTCATAACAAAAATATATTAAAATGTTTTTGCCATAGCAAAATATAACTAAAAAATTTTGTAGGAAAAACACGTTCCTCTTACATAATAGGGGATAGCATGGCATTTTTACTATATTCAGAAAGTTACGTGCAAAAAGTACAAAAGTGTGAAGTACAACATGATTTCCCCAAATCTCAATGTCAAACCAGAGTTAGCCATGAAAACCAAAGCCCCAGAGGGCTGGGCCCAGTGGCTCACACTTGTAACCCCAGCATTCTGGGAGGCCAAGGCAGGTGGACTGCCAGAGCTCGGGAGTTCCAGACCAGCCTGAACCACAGGGAAACCCCATCTCTAAAAAAGTCAGAGGTTGTGGTGGGCATCTGTAGTCTCAGCTACCAGAGAGGCTGAGGCAAGAGGATCCCAAGAGTTGCTGTGAGCTATGACACCATGGGACAAAGCGTCAAAAAAAAAAAGGCTCGGAGCTTGGTGCACAGTGGTTACAGCGCCAACCACATACACCAAGGGTGGTGGGTTCGAACCCTGCCTGGGCCAGCTAACCAATGACAACTGCAACAAAAAATAACTGGGCGTTGTGGGGGTGCCTGTAGTCCAAGCTACTCAAGAAGCTGAGGCAAGAGAATCGCAAAAGCCCAAGAGCTGGAGGTTGCTGTGTGCTGTGACGCCATGGCGCTCTACCAAGGGTGACAAACTAAGACTGTCTCTAAAAAAGAAAGAAAGAAAGAAAGAAAGAAAGAAAGAAAGAAAGAAAGAAAACTGAAGCCCCAGAGGGTCACAAGGCCTTTCTCCCTTCTGTGAATGGCCCAGCTGACCAGAGCACCTGTGCCGAGACAGGACCTGAGCTGCTGGGCTCTCTCAGCCTCAGTGGGGCTGAGCAAACTCCCAGTAAGCACACAACAACTCTGATATGCCCGGCTCCCCAGCCCAGTGTCCAGCCCCCAGACCTTCAAAGGTCCCCTTGGGAAAGTGCCTTGTGATGGAGCAGGACCTTGGAAACCTGCTTCTCCAAGTGAAGACTCACAGTGAGCCCTCCGTCAACCCTCAGGGGACACCCGGAGCTCCAATGGGGAAGGGAGTCCAACACCGGGCAGGTCTCCACTCCCACTACCCAGGGAGCTGGGGCAGGGCCCACTGCAGGGGGCAGCCTGGGGAGGCACACCCTGAGGGGCACTTGCGGACATGGCCTGAGGCTCCTGCATCATGAACCCTGACAATGAGGATGCTTGAGGGGAAGGAATGTGTGTGGCCAGCAGCCCAAGGTGGCTCCCTTCAAAAGAAAGCTTGACAGGAGGAAAAGAGAAAAGGAAGGGAAGGAAGGGTGCAGATGGGGAGGAGGCCTGCGTGATGCCTCTAGGCCACTGAGAAGCCTTGCGGTTGAGGACTCTCTTGCTCCCCAGCACTCAGGTCATGTCCGACCTGGCCCTTAGCACTGGAGGCATTCCTCCTGACCACACATGTCCACCTGCCCTCAGGCTCCTCCAGGATGGGGTCTGCACCTGACCCTCCTGTGCCATCAGCACCCAGGATGGACCAAGGGGAGGACAGGCAGGTCAGGAGATAGGTACTGAGAAGGTTCTAGAGGGATACAGAGTGAAGGGCAGAACAAGGTGGGGCTGGACCAAGGAAAAGGAATGCAGGGAGCAGATGTGTGCAGGACAGGGCCAGGGTGGGCCGGTGGAGACGTGTGTGGGGCCGAGGCCTGAGGGGCATGGCAAAGGTGGGGACAGGACTGGCCTGCAGGTCAGGTGCTCAGGACAGGTGGGAGCGGGTAGGGCCTGTGGTGCCCAGAACAGGTGTGGACAGGACTAGCCTGCAGGACAGGTGCCCCGGACACATGCCTCAGGGGCATTGCGAAGAACAAGCGGAGGCGGTCAGGCGCCGCAGGACAGATGGGGGTGGGCTGGGCCTGCGAGACAGGTGCGCGAGACAGGTGAGAGCAGGACCGGACAGCAGGGCAGGTGCGGGACAGGTGGGGGCGGGACGGGCCTGCGCAGCAGGTGCGCGGGAACCCGGCGAGGCGAGAGGCCAGCGGCGCGCGGGCTCACTTGCCTGCGAAGGCGGCGGCAGTGGCGGCCTCGTCGGGGCCAGGCAGGGCCTCGGCGCCCATGTCC